ATACGCGCTGAAGTTCTTCAGCAGAGTGTAGCGTCCGGCTTTGACAGTAAAGAAGGTGCTTGTGGGATCAAAGTCACCCAGATCGCGATATTGTGTGGGATAAAAGTGTAGCCGGATGAATTTGGGACCCGGGGTGAGGCCGAAGCTGTAGGTGAACTGGGATCGAGACACACGTGCGGTCATGTACGGCACCGCTTCGACGGTGTATTGTGAGCGGGCTTCGAAGATATTCGATTTGTTTCGTCCGTCTGATTCTATGAGGGAATATCGAGAATCTTTTTCATGATCCGCAATCCAAATACGGTTATCATGTGCAGTTAGCTCCTCCTGTGAGCCACAGTTGAGGGCGATATTCTCTTTGGGTACATAAACAGGTGTGGAATCGGCGATGGTTATGATGATCGCGTCTTGGTAGAAAGAGAAGTAGATAAGGGCGAGAATAAGTAGGAGTTTCTTCATGGAAGAAACCATATTTGTAAAGGAAGCTTTTGCCAAGAACATGAGGGTATATGAACAAAAGAACTTGTATGATCTATATAACCAAGCCAAGGTTTTGGGGGGCTTAACTTTGTAGAGTTATTGTGGTTCTTTTTATAAAGTTGGAGTGTTTACTATTTGAAGATTAAAGCAAGGACGCGATTTGATCAACAGATCACGTGGAAAACACTTCGTATGTTCCTATAGATTTTTTTGTTTTTAATGCGCCATGTTCGCATAGATTTTTTAGTGTGAACTCGTGTAATAATTAGGAATTAGTAAACTATTTGTCCATACTACTTTTTTCAATATAAGAAATATAATCAGTGTGACCTTGTGACCATATAATTTTACACTTGGAAACTTTTTGACTTGTGATGACCAAATGAAGGAAGACGATAGATTACTTTAATTATTATAATTTCAAACGCGACATACACACACACACACACACACACACACAACACATATTGAGTGTGAATTATCACTATTCTCAAAAAAGTATAACAATACACAGAAACAAACACAATATTCTAGGCGTGAACATTGGGTGGGTTTTTGAGATTTTTCAACCCATCCAATTAAGTTTGGGTGAGTTGATTTTAAATTTAACCCATACAATCAATCTAAAGTTTAAAATCAACCCACTCATTTAAATATTGGGTAGATTAGGTGGGTTTATCAGATTGAACATAATAAAGAAATAAGAAATAAAAAAATAAATAAAGCTAATCATTCAACCCAAAATAAAAAATGTATAAAGACCAATATAAAAATAAAATATATGTAAAGCAAGTTCAAATATATAAGTTGTAAACCAACAAACAAACAATAATAAATACTCATACAATGTTAAACATAATCGGTTGTCAAGTAAATAATGTAAAATATGAGACAAAAAAATATATTATGAGATAGGAAAATATTTATTTATATAGATAAATAGATTAGGTGAGTTCGGGTTAATTTGGATTAGGAAAAACTCATCCAATTAATAGTCGGGTTGAGTGGGTTGGCTTGAACTCTTGATCGGATTGGTCAGGTTCATGTTAAAATGGGTTGGGTTGGGTGGATTAATGGGGTTTGTAGGGTTGTCGACTTTTTGTTCACCCCGACTATTTTCTAACTCAGAAGTCCTTTTTCTCGTGGTATTATTTAAATGAAGGAACTATCAAATTCCAAAGTAAGAGATTACTAACAACAATATATTTTAATTGGATTCGAAAATATATTGATTAATGAGTATGATTGTTGACGATGAAAATTAATTAATTGAATAATAATGAATTTCTTGACACCATTGAAATGTAATTAAACGTGAAATAAAAGCAAGAACATTCAAAATTTATAGTGGTTCACTATTAGTTTCAGAGCTACGTTCATTGTGGGGAGGAGGAAAAAATTCACTACTTTGGAGAAAAATACATGCACTAATGCTCAAGATGAGACTTTGGATATTTTCTGAATCATGATTCCCTATTTATACTACCAGGCGACCGCCCTTGTCAATTCCCTTATTTAAATTTGGGATATTTCTCTTATCTCTTGAGATAATTTTCTAAAATATAGAGATTACAATTAATCTGAGTGTTTTCCTTATTCGTATTTCATATATTCAAATTATAGATAACGAATCTCTGAGTAAATAATGTGGATCCTTATATCCGCGTAGCCTCAACTTCATCAAAGCTACTCGAGGTCTCTTCGCTTATATTGGAGAGAACGATCAACTCCATGTTCATTCCTAATGTTTCTCATAATGGTCTACTTCCCAAAAGAGTTGTTGTTGACGTGGCTATTAGGACTGAGTTGTCCTTAATCATTTAATGAGTTTCCCTATGATCGGTGGGCCGTGTTCATGATCTATTTTTAAGGTATTGTTTCACCCTACAACAATGATCATATAATACTGCACATAACTCTTGTAGGTAATAAATAATTAAATAAGAAATACAAAGAAAGAGAGAAGATAAAGAGAGATTTAATGTGGTTCAACTATATTCCTATAACCAAAGTCTAAGAAAAGAAGGAAAGTTTACTAGTAAGGAGTACTATAAAGGAGACTCTATATAAATTATAAAATCAGGTAAGTAACCCAAAACTAAAATAATGAAATTTCTTAATACAAATGAAGTCAAAACCAATAGCAAGAGGTAACGATATATAAAATATTACTTTCCCTAGTAGTAGGTCCTTTAATCCATTGGTTCTTCTTATATTTGGTACTCTTTATTATAGCGAAACATCTCATTGGTACTCTGTGTTTTTAATATTAAAATAGTAGCTTCACCTTTAAAGAAAGATTATTTTAGTACCCTAAGACTAATTTTCGGTACATATAATGTCTAAACTACCATTTTTATCAATTAAATAGAAACTAATAATTAACTTTAAAATTATTTTTTAAAAACATTTTAATTTATATTGATTGTTTAATTTTTAAATATATTAAATTATTTTCATATATATTTTTTTAAAATTACTAGTTTATTGTTAATTAGTGAGAAACGTAAAATGTACATTGTCCTAAAAATTGGTTTTAGGTGTTAAAAGAACCTTTCTTTAAAAATGAAGGGCGCGTTTGGAACTCGTTCTAAAATGATTTTATTTTTGGTATGAACATAAAAATGAAAACGTTTTCAATCTCAGACATAAATTATTTTTAAAAATGCGTTTGGTAGTTTTATCAAGAGATTGTTTTCAATGTAAAAAAACTCATTAATGTCTCTCTTTCTCTCTCTCTCTGCTCAAGAGAGAGGAGAAAATGAAAATAAAAAATGAAAAATGACTAAATTTTTTTTTTCATTTCTCTCTCATTTTACACTAAACCAAAAAATCATTTTCATTTCCCTTTTTTATCTTTATTGTGCCAAACGCCATTTTGAAAATATTTTCATTTTTTCTTCTCGAAAAACGTAAAAATAAAAATATGATCAATTCTAAACACGACTGAAGTTACGATTTTAATATTATTAAAAACAGAATACCAATAAGATATTTCGCTATATTAACATAGGGTACCGTAATAATTTTATCCATTCTAAAAAGCATCATAACCATCTTTTTACGTAAAAAAAAAAAATTGCAAATGATGAAAGGGGAGCCAATCAACGCTTATTAACGCATGTTCTAATAATTAAATCGATGCCCTTAATAAACTCACCAAGTCCTACATAAAATTTATTGAAAAGGCAACGAAAAAAGTTATATATAAAAAAGAATAAAAAAAGTAACTTATATGGCGGGTCTTCTATTAATGATCTGAAGCATTTTTCACGATATTACGTACTTCCAAAACAAAGTAACTGTACACCAATATTCAATGGAGGTGTTTATAAATATATATTTTTTCTTCCGTCTAGATGAAGATATGGTTGTCAATTCGGGGTCACTTTTGTAAAAGTAACACTGGGTGAGAACTCCCCGAGTAAAGCTAAAGTAGCACTTATATTTGGCCTACATGCAAGAAAGTCTAACTCGTGTTTCATATACTACTCCCTTTCTTTGTTGAAGAAACGAACAAACGTGCATGTACATTTTTTTTTTCTTGCTAAGAACGTGTTATGAACTTTTTTTTTTTGCTTGTAGAGAACGCGTATATATATAATATATACACACACAATTAAACCTGCAGCACCTATCAGAATCCACTTCACTGTTTTCTAATGGTATTTGCCTGGATTACTCATATACCTATTGACCACTCCCACTGTATGCGTAATGTCCAATCTAGTGCATATCGTAGCGTACATAAGACTGCCTATAGCGGAGGCGTAAAGCACCTTAGCTATATAGACTTGCTCATGCTCCGAAGTCGGTTTTTTCCTTCAACAACTTGAAATGACTAGCCAAAGGAGTACTCATCGATTTTGCATCCTCCATGTTGAACCTCTTCAACACCTTCTTCGCATATTCCTCTTGTGATAGTTTTAGGACATTAGTATCACTTGTAATTCTCATCCCAAGGATATGTTTTGCAGCACCCAATTCCTTCATAGCAAACTGCTTCGAACGAGCTACTAAAATTCTTCACGTATCAACAGTGATCTACAAGGCATCTTAAGAACCTAATACTGCTCATGAAACTGTAAAAATTCTTATACCACTGACTAGGAGCTTGCTTGAGACCATACAAGATCTTTTGAAGTTTGTACACCATCTTCTCCCCCTTCACTCAAACCCTTGTGGCTGCACCATGTAAATTTCTTTCTTCAAGTCATCATGAAGAAAAACTGTCTTCACATCCATTTGCTCCAAGAGCAAATCTTCTTATACCACCAATGTAAGAATTGTTTGAATTGTGATTAACTTCACCACCGAGGAAAAGATATTCGTGTTGTTGATGCCCTCTTTCTGTTGGAATCCTTTTACTGCTAGCCTTATCTTGTACCTTTTGCTACCGTCATGATCATCTTTTATCCGGTACACACATTTATTCTTCAAAGCTTTCGTACCCTTTGGTAACTTAACCAACTGCCATGTCTGATTGGACGTTAACGAGTTCATTAACTCTCCGACTCACCTTTATGGGTCGATAAAATGTAATTCAACGCAGGAGAATACCTATGTGGTGCCCTTACAGTTCTGCTAAACCTCCTGACCGTTGTAGCAGGTGTTCTCTGTACTTCTTCTTCTGAGGCTATGTTCTCATGATCTTCAACCCCTGTATGCTCCTCCTCATTCACAAGAATATCACCCAGCGGAACTATCTTAGTTTTCTTAGAGTCTGAAACTAAGCATCTTGTCTCTGCTTTCAGTCTGTCTTTATATATGGCCTCCTCATTATTTAAGATCACGTCATTACTCCTGATCACCTTCCAATTTTGGTCATTGATATATCTATAACATAGAATTATTTTCGCTCCTATTTACTTTTAAATTAGCTTTGTTTTGGAGATTTTTATTTGTTTTTATATGATTTTTAGTTTAGTTTCATTTAATTTATTTTGTTTTTATCTTCTTGTATTTTAGTTGATTTCATTTAGTTTCTCTCTACAATCTGTATTAATTCTCATTTTGTGTTTAATTTAGGTGCGAGGGTAATAATTGGGAATTAATTGTGATTTAAAAAGGAGTAAAAATGAGTAAAAAGGAGTAAAAAGCAATTAAAAATCCGAATTCGGTCTAGCACCACGAGCGGAAATTCAGATGCGCATAAACTCGTGCTCTAGAGCC